TCAGAGGCACAGCTGAAATAATAACAGGGATTTTGATGCTGGCGAGTTGCTTAAATATGGCTCATTAAAACCCAGGGTGACTTGGGAATGTGAAGTATTTGCTATAAGACACAGTAGTGTCAGCATCAGGGACTGACATGTAAGAACGCCCTCGTTGCTGGCCGTAAGCTGGCCATAAGCTGGCCAACGAGGGCTGAGTGCTCGAGGGAGGTGGAACACAACTTGGTTTCACTCTGAGGAAGGGGCTTGAGGAGGATACAGGAAAAAGGGGAATATGTATAAATCCGAGAAGCTGCAGATGGACAACCTAGTCTACATCTATATCAGCGTCACTGTCACATTAGATGGTGGCCAAGATAAGATTTACTCTTCCAGAGCTTTTACAAGGAGCTGAAGCTTCCAGGCAGGCTGGAGAGAGAACTGCTGTGGGACTGGGTACGACATGGCGTTTTTCTTACTAAAGAAACGTGATTAGCCTCTTGCTTACTGTACTTCCTAACCTTGGTGATTTGAAGCCTGTTTCGTGCTGACCATGCCTGGCTATGATCCCAATGCACAGGACCTTGCTGTGAAGGCAGTTGGCTACCCAGGAGGGATGATCAGTGACTTCCCCCCCATCACCCAGAAAAGGAAAATAACTTCTTTATCTGACCTCTGCAGAAAACCCGAAGCCTCCGGCAGCCTTGGTAGCAAGATGAAGTAGATACTGGTCAATAGGAATCTTTCCACGGGTGTCTCTGGTCCAATCCTGCCAGCCCTCAGAGCACGCTTGGTTTTTGCACCCTCCAAGGAAGACTCGTACTTTTCTACCAGCTCCTGAATCATCTTTTTGTCATCACAAACATAACAGAGTAAATGGGTGTTCATTGAAGCTGGGAACTTTTAACCAGGACGACTTTTCTATTAACATTCATTCTGAATCCTTCTCCACAAAGGTGGAATGTTGGTCTCATATTGTTTATTGCTTCACGTTAAGTAAAACAATTGATTCTTCATGGAAGAAAAATACTGGCACAGAGGTATATCAATCAAAATCCTAGTCTCTAACCCACAACTGTGTTAGCATGTGGGTACCAGAAGAATACGTCAAAAGAATCAATGTACCTGCCTTTACCCTTCATTATATAGAAATAAAGAAGAATTTCTGATTCTGTGTCTGACTTGCTCTTCTCCCTTTTGTCTCTCTGAAGCAGGGCAACACAACATACACACACCGAGTTACCAAAATCCAGTATTTAAGACAGCAGAAAACTGATTATAATACTATGCTCTGCCAGCTCTCCAGAGATCTTATAACAGTTCGTAATTGCTAATTCAGCCTCAGAAACCCCAGTGAGATAGGCTGGAGCCATTATTTTTGTTTTTAAATATGAGGAAACTGAGACAGAGTCAAAGGCTACGACTCATGGAGTATTGCTTCAGGAAGAGCATCTTAGAAACGTGGACTTGCTGTGTCAGAGCAGAGTGGTTCATGAAGGCTCAGTGCCCGTTCTCACTGAACTCCAGAGCAGTGTGCCTGCTTAGCTTAACGGTGTTGGTCACGCATTGGCAGTTGCCACCACCAGATAAATCAGAAGAAGGTATAAAATCCCGGGGCATAAAATCCCATCATTCCCAGGGCATACACTAACCGCTTTTATAAAGAGCTCTGTTTTCGTCTTGCTTACTTACTGCATGTACCTTACGTTATTAGCTGTACAGCAGCCAACCTTTAACAGGCCAGAGAAAGGTGTCTTCTTCCTACAGCTTGCTTTGTGTCATTTTATGGCACCCTCCTGAAGAAAACTGTGAGGGTCCTTTAGATGGAGAAGACAGAGCTCGGCTATCCAGGTTTCTAGACAAGTGCTGTAACTGTTTATTTTTTAAAAATTAGAGGCAGCATCACAACCACAACATTTTTATTGAATTTATGACTGCAGTGCTCTGTGCTGAACTCAGAGCTGTTTCTGTGAGTTAGGCATCTATCCTTTGTGCCTTCTAGGTGAGACCCTATACCTGTTGTGTCTGGTTCCTGTTTCATCGCTCTGGGCATTATAATTCTGGATATTCTTTAAAGGCTGAAATGAAGTCTTCCAGTGGATTTTTGTGTTCCCAGGATTGGGCAGGCATCGGAAAAGGAGGCTGGTCTTGCTTTCCTTTTCTGTAACTGTAATGTTGGACTGAAGTGCCTGAAGTTGGACACCTAAAAGTCTTTTGCACTAGCTCATCCTGAGTCCAAAGGAGGAAAGAAAATTGTACTCTACATTCAAGCTCTGTGAAAGCAGAGTAATTAGCTCTTTATTAGGGAACCCACACACACTTTTAACTTCAGCTTCTGTGTTTTTCCAAGAACCTCTAGAACTTGAAATCCATAATATTTTGGATTGTTTGCTTTGTCTGAGAGCTACTTGTTTTAACTTATCACCCACCAAAATCTTCTTTGGGTCCTTTCTCCAGGATATATCAAAGGGATGAAAAAATCAAGTAACTCTCGGGGGAGGGATGCTGGTGTTCAGTTTTCCTTTACGCATTAGAGAATCAGGATAGTCTATTAGTGCTGTTGTAGTGAAAATACAGCTCTCCTTCGCAGTCTTTAGAATGACAAAGGAGCTGATTTTAGTGGTTGGTTACATATTCATTTTAATGGCATTTTCCTTCCTCCCTCATTAGCCAAGAAGAGGAATGTTTCAGATTACTGCTGTCTCCCACAGTTTTCCGTGTTCTCCCAGGGACGTGAATGTATCCAAGAGGCAAATGAAACCTGCTTTGGTTGTCTCTAAATATTTGAGTACCCAGGATTCCCTTCAAGGATTTTTCATTTAGCTGCCTCTCTTTCTGCATATACATTTCAGGTGATCTAAGAAGCTCATCCTATTTTTCTGCTGAAAATACTGATAGTCGCGTATCTGATTTACCATGACAGTGTAGAAGAAAGACAAGCATTTTTCCATGCTCAGCTCAAGACACCTTCGCAATCCATCTTCTTCTCCTGCACCTCCTTTTCATAGTCATCCTAGACTTGCAGAGCTGTAATTTGCAGAAATTAATGCCGTGGACATTACTCTCTGTTTTCTGGGATTGGATTATTCAAATTGTGGTTTATCTCTAGTATGGCTGCAGAGGTAGTTGGCTCCGATACACTTTATATTATAGCTTAGGTGCAGTGGTGGAGAATATGGACGTGCCACTTACAGGCTTGGAAATCACGGAGCTGGTCTGTGTTGCATGGAGCCCCAACTATAAACCTTGGCAGATTCAAAACATCTCAGTGCCTGCGCCACACTGGCAGGACCAGGTGGGCAGTCAGGAATAGCGTGCAGGGACAACTTTCAGAGCCACGAGAAGTAGGACAGAGTACAGCTGTGCACAGCAGCTCCATGCAAGCTGGATCTGAGCTAACACCATGCAAAACCACTGCCTCCGCACCTGCAGCTCCTGGTTCCAGGGCTTGTTCGTTCAAGCCATGATGTAGCCGCAGACCTAGACCTGGGCTAGCGCTGCACTGGGTTAATGAATCCTCTCTCTGGAAGACTGGGGAACACCAGTGTAACTCTGCAAGAGCCAACCTAGCTCTGATATGGCCAGATAATAAGCTTGACTGAACTCAGATGTGCACTGGACACAGACATTGGGTATATTACATTGTGTTCTCAGGTGCACCCAGTAGTACTTGTATAGGTTTCTCATCTCACAAGTTTTCCCATTACCTTTGACAAGGAGACTTTACTATGGGATCTCTCTCCCATCTCTTATCCGATAGTATTTATGTATATGGGAAGAAGAACAAATATGGCAGCTGAGATCGGCAAATCTGCCGAACAGTGCAACTGCAGCAGCTCAGCACACACATTTCCATTCTTAGTTGAATACATTTTGCAAGAGATTCTAAAGGTGAAAACCTGTCCACATATGACTTTATCAAACACAGCTTCATTCTTGGCTCGTTTGTTGCCTCTGATGCTTTACTTGATTACGCAGAGATAAGATAGACAGATTCAACCTGGAGTAGTGCCTGCCTTACACTTCCAAGAGGCTAGGGAATGACCGGGCAGAGTGCCCAGACTGAGGATGCTACCAGAGAGGCCACCTGACACAGAGAAAAATGGACCCGTTTCTCTAGCAGGGGTGCTAAATTAATTAACTGTAGTTTGTAATACATTTAATATGCTCTGGGCCTTTCAAGTTCAGGAAAAACAACACTTTGGAGGGAAATAACAGTAAATAATTTTTTGAACTAGCTGATTATGACTACTATTTCTCAACTTCTAGCTTTACTCCCAAGTCCTTGGCTTTCCTTTTTGCCCCATTTGTGTGCGTGATTTCCTTCAAACTGATTTAATAGAAAGCATATTTGCATGCACATTTTGTTTCACTTCAGTTTCTCCAAGATGAAGCTTCTTTGGGATTTTTGGCTTCCTGTATCTGCTTTTTGCCGCAGCTTCTCACTCTTCTCTTTGTTTTGGCTGAGGTACAAAATCTGAGATTCTGAGAAACTTTGCTTATTCAACTTTTTGAAAGAACCAGAAAATAATTCAGTTTTCTTCAGGGAAATTCTATTGCCTGTTTTCCTTTTTAATGCCTCTTCCATCTCTTTCTTAAGGATCTGTACTGCCCTTTTTATTTATTCTAGTTCTCCACATCTCTTTTTTCCTCCTGTTCTTCCTCACCCTCCCCCAACCTTTCATTTCCTCTTTCTTCCCAGCTTCTCTCCACTGTGGAGTAAAAACTCCTGTTCTCCTCTGCAGTCCTGCAGGGTTTTCCACTTAGCCATGCTTTGCATGAAGCGCCTTGCACCTTTGAAATGCCTTCTACCTTCAGAGTAGAAAAGTACACCTTGGTGTTGGCCATAATATTTGAATATAGCATGGGATTTTGAGTGTTATACTTCGATTTGACTATCCTCTGCGCTGCCTCCTCTTTCTGTGTGTCATTCTCCAGCACTGTCCTAACTTCCTGGACAAACCATGAGGAGGACACAGTCATGTTTATTCAGAAGTCCCACTTGAGAGGTGAAGTCAACTTCATGGTTTGCTGAGGCTTGTAGAAAGTTTTGAGGTGGTTATTAGCTGATTAATAATTATAGGAGAATGAATAATAACTTTTGTTGTTCCATAGGTACCTGGGAAAGGTACAGACACGTGTCCCGATCCTGTTACAAGAGGGAGAACGCCAGCATTTGGTACAACATTCCAGGAGAGAGTCAAAGTGACATTCCTGTTTCCCTTGAGACCATTTCCATCATCAAAGAAAAAGTACTTTGACTTCATGTCTTTTAAGAACAGCCTCGGGTTATCTCCTCTCAACATGATCTTGTCCCAAAGGACCACCTGGTTTAGAGCATTGTTTTTCGTTGAATATTCTGCAGACAAATATAGAAACAATTGTTTAACATTCCAGTCAAATATGCTCTGCAGATCTGCAGTAATGTCAAATGTGACGAATCCCGGATCACTTCTTTCTCTAGGTCCAGTGAAATCTTCTACAGTTTTTAGCGTGACCCGGGACAGGGCGATGCTGACGGGCACGCTCCGCTCCTTGAAGGCGGTGGTGATGAAGC